AACTAGATAGATAATATAATATGCAAACTTAATCAGCCATACCGCATTATATGATCATATGCTGAAGCAAATAAGAGAAAGTACCTTCAAGTCTTCCAGGTTGTGGAATTCCCACTCTTTTTTTAGGGTACCTCACTAACTGTCTTTGATACGGCTACCTAATAAATGCAATGTGAGGGCACCAGTGTAAATCTGTAACCGGGCAGCCAGGGGTCCAGCTGCTTACTGTCATATGCATGTATAACACAAAGATCTATGGGGGAAAAAGGAGGTTTTTATCAACAGGGTACCAAATTTGAGGGGACTGGAAGCATTCCTGTTCCTAGACAACCTCTTTCACAAAATACAGAGATTCCCATGTTCCCAGAAAAACTGAAATCTAAAATCATGCCCAGAAGTTCCCCATCATTCCTTATCTGTCCTTTTGGAGCTGGACATTTCTACACAAACGGGTCTCCATCCTCAAGTTCCCTTTCTCTGGTGTGCACTTGTGGTTTTCAGCATCACCATTGTCTCATGCAGCTCACTCTCTCTCCCTCCCCCTCTCTCCCTCCCAGTGGCTGGGGTGTGTGCCCAGTCAATCCAGGTGGTCATGCAGGGGAAGCTCCACCCCTGGGGCCCAGGAGCTTGAGGCTGCCTGTGCCGCTGGGGCTGAGGCACCTTCCCAGCTCATGCCTCTATATGCTATTCTCAGCCTCCATGTACTGCTCTCAGGGTGAGAGAATGGAAGCAGTCAAGAACTCGCGTAGTATGTTGGACAGCATCCCTAGGGCTGGTGCCTGGTGAGGCCTGCATGGAACTCCCAGCATGAGACTCTGCCTCTGACAGCTGGCCTACAACCATGTGAGGCCTAAGTGCCAGGTGGGCCCAGCACCTGCTGCGACAAGTGCTCCAGAGAGCACTCCCCACCCAGGGTGCAAGGCAAGAAAGAGTGGGAGGCTTCTATGTGCCTTCTGTTTTAAAGTTTCCCCACCAAATTCCCTGTACTATGAGAGTGTCCAGCTTTTCAACCAATGTTGGCCAAGGTTGGCCATGTTTGTCACAGTTGTCTTTGCCCCTCTTCTGGCCACCATTTTGCAGAAGGGGTTAGAAGTTGTTCAGTGGCACACAGGTGCACAAGCATCTTAGCCTGAGGCAGGGCCTCCGACCCCACTGCAGCTTGCTGACCTCTACCATGCACGTGCATTTTGACCATTTCAGCCCCACTCAGCCTCAGTACAAGCTCCCTCCAGCTGGGTCATGAGCTGTTCATCTGCCAGGGCCACTCGTGCTATTTACTGTTGCCCCGGGCGGCAGCCTCCTCCTGCAGACCCTCTCCTTGCTAGGCAATGCATGCTGGTATGGCTAGTTTGTTTACGACCGCCTGCGATGGCCTCCTCCTGTGGCTGTTTCAGTCTGCCACCTCAGGGTTTCTCCTGCCTTTCTGTAGGAGATGTATCAGCTCTGGTGGCTCAGTGTCTCTCCTGGATGGAGGTCTCCCCGATGTTCCCCAGCAATTTGGCCTGTCTCACCCTGTTACAAACCCGTATGTTGTTTTGATTGATGAAAGAAAAAATTTTATATTTAGTAGATAAAAAATAATTACAAACCAAACTTCTAATATTTCTTTCTGAATGTCAGTGTATTATCTTGCATAGCCCATGAAGTATATAACACCCTCACTTTAGATGTCATTGGTCTACATATGAGGTAATAAACTCCTTATCGGCCACTACCAAAAAAATTAAAATACATATCATGCTACCTAAGATGCCATTTTAAGAAAAGTTTCTTTTTCTTAAGATACAAACTTAAGAGAATTTTAGATACTCAGCACTTTGTATGAACTTAAAAAGATTGCTTTCCTAACACCTTGCACTATTGTAATAAGAAGGTAGTACAGGGGAAAGAAAAAGAAAATATTAAAAGCTGATTTGGAACCCTTACAGAAAGACCAAACCTACGAATTAGAGTTTAGGTTACTAGGTATAGGCTGGAAGTGAACATTTAAGAATACACTGGATTCCTCCTTGGCATTTTATCAGAGTTGTAAGTACTTATTCAATTTCTGTCTTACCCTATTAGTTATAATTTCTGATGACAGCAAGAACTGTCTTTTTGCCTGCAATATTCCTAGCCACAAAAACAATGCATGTGGCACAGATGTTCAAAAAATTTACTAAATAAATGAATGAAAGAAGTGGTATAAATGAAGCCACAAGTAAGAAACTAATCAAAGAGAATAGAATCAAAAAAGTGCTAACACTGAACTTTGTGAAACCCCTACAGTAAAGCCATCAGAAGTGACAGAAGTGTGGAATCATGCCCACACACTTCTGTGGAATGGGAAAGGCCAAGGGGTAGCAGGAAAACCAGGGGTGTGTTGATGGGAACGGGGTGAATAGATTAAATACAGAAGTCTGAGAAAAGTTCGTTTGGTTTGTCAAGAAAATAATTGGCAACCTCAAAACTACTGTTCAGGAATAATTACAGAAGTAGAAATCAACTGCATGAAATTAGGCAGGAGATAGATAATAAGAATATAAAATCATATCATAAATAAATCAACAAACAAGAAGTACTGACAAGGTTGTAGAGAAAAGAGACCCCTAGTACACTGTTAGTGGGAATGCAGACTGGTGTAGCCACTGTGGAAAACAATGTGGAATTTCCTCAGAAAACTAAAAATGGAATTGCCTTTTGATCCTGCAATTCCGATGCTGGGACTATACCCTAAGAATCCTGAAACACCAATTCAAAAGAACCTATGCACCCTGATGTTCCTCGCAGCACAATTTACAATAGCCAAGTGTTGGAAGCAACCTAAGTGCCCATCAGTAAATGAGTGGATCCAAAAACTATGGCACATTTACACAATGGAATAGTATGCAGCAGAAAGAAAGAACTCCTACCCTTTCACAACAGGATGGATGGATCTGGAGAGCATTATGCTAAGTGAAATAAGCCAGTTGGTGAAAGACAAATACCATATGGTCTCACCTATAAGTGGAATGTAATCAACAAAACAAATAAGCAAGCAAAATATGCAGACATTGAAATAAAGAACAAACTGACAATAACTAGAGGGGAGGGAAGAGGAGGATAACGGGGAGGGGCGGGGGCAGGGGAAGGGCCATCAAGGAACATATATAAAGGACACACGGACAAAGCCAAAGGGTGTTAGAATCCAGGGTGAGAGGTGGGGAAGGGGGGCATTAGTGGGGGGGAAATGGAGACAACTGTACCTGAACAACAACAACAACATAAATAAATAAATAAATAAATAAATATTAAAAAGTAAAGAAAATCAGTACACTAGTCTTATGAATTAGTCAGTGAAGCAAGAGAAACAGTATTATCACTGTATAGGGCTCAATAGGAATAAGACTTTTTTCAAGTCAGGTAGATCTCCACCTTGGAGGAAGAGGATCCAGAGGTTTTTCCCTCTAGCAGTGGATGTGGTGCTGTGACCCTTTCGCAGACATGGACAGACCATGGCAAACATTGTAAAGATAGACATCTGTAAAGACAGCAAATTGCTTAAAAATCTAAATATGGACAATAAATGAAAAACATGCCTAAGTATATATTTCTTTTCACATATTTCTGAAAAAAGAGGCTAAGATGAAAAATACATGTGTATTTTGATCTAGGAGATTATTCTATTCGAGTTGTCTTAGAAGTGGTTGTTTCTGTCACTACAACAAAGGAAAAACGAGCACAAACAAATGTTTATGTTATCGGCTGCTCCATGCGACGCACTTCGGACCTAATCTTTCACCCTTTAACAACAGTCACTGCTTCTGTTACTGCTGTTTCAGTAAAACACGGAAGCATGAATGTGAGCTCATTTCACTGCCTGTGGGCCCCACACTTTTCCAGCCCTAATGTAACAAAAGGGCACAGCTCCCACACGCAAAAAGTAAATAAACAAAAAGTGTTTTCTTGAAGTATGACTCTCTCCTCGCTTGCACGTATTTTAATTTAGTTCAAAGACAAGCTGTAATTACTAAGACTTCTTAAGAAGTTACTCGGAATTACGTTTTTAAAAAAAAACATTTCACATCATAACCTCACTTATTAAAATTCACCGTGCTGAATCTTTAAGGGTTATTCTCTCTCACTCACCATTTTATTGTGTGTGTGTGCGTGTGCGTTTGTCCTCCACTATAGCACTTTGTGTCCCGGGAATCACACTTTGCACACAATGGGCACCAGGGGTAGCCTGTAATCCAGAGTGTGCATCTGTCTTAAAGGAGTCACAAAATCCTTGCGGCCGCAAATAGTTACAGAGCTTCCATTGCAGGTGAAGTCTCTTAAGGTTGTCAAGTAAAGAATCAAGAGCTTCTTGAAGGCAAGGACAGCGTTTTTCAGCATGATACCCCCAGCACCTGATTCAGTTCTGGTACACAGTAGATACTAAGTAATGCTAAATGAATGAAAACCGACTCGGTAGGGACTTTAAATTAAGTCCTGTTCAACAACGTTCGCCACCGAGTACCATCAAGGCGTCAGAGATCAGCGGGCGTGGTTTCTACTAATGACAGGGAGCTAATCATTATAATTTCACAAATATTGCGATTCTATGCTCCAACGTCCGTATTTTTTAAATCCAAATAAAAAGGTGGGTTTCTGTTGCCTCTGCTCTTAATTCTTAGGGACTTAAGTACAAATGTGCAGGGTCGCTGAGCGCCCCTCGCAGCGAACCCGACCTTCTCTCGGGCGGAGCGGACGAAGCTCCCGGCGCGCCCCGCGGCTGTGCCTCGGCGATCCGGCAGGGGCCGCTGTTCCCACGATAACCTCCTTAAAGGCTCCGCCCCGCGGCGGCGCTCACCCGTGCGTGCAGGACCCTGACCTAAGGCCGGAACGCCAGTCCGCGGGTCCTGCTCGCCCTCCGCGGCCAACGCCAACGTTAGCGGTCGCACTCCGACCGGGCTAGGCCCTGCGTCTCGACGGTGGCCGATCGGTCGCGCGGCCCGCTGCGAGGCGCTGGTTCTCTTCCCTCGCCCCACCCTCCCTCTCTCTCTCTCTCTCCCCTTTGACGGAAACAACAGCTGCGGCAGCGGGGCTGGCGCCGCCTCCCTCCACCTACCACGTCTGCCCCCGCCAGTCCCGCCCGGCGCCTCAGCCCGGCCCTGGCGCCTCCGCCTCCCCGCTAGGTCAGCCGGCAGCTCCGCCCGGCTGCCGCAGAATGAACATTATGGACTTCAACGTGAAGAAGTTGGCGGCCGACGCGGGCACTTTCCTCAGTCGTGCCGTGCAGGTACTGCGGTGGAGGACGGGGTGACGGTGCCCCAGAGGGCCAAGGAGGGAATGCTGGAGCGCGCAGCCCGGGGCGGCGGCGCCCTCCGCTCCCGGCCTCGCCGACGGCACGGCGGGCCTGCTGTGGCCGAAGGCCCGGGTGATGGGCGCGGCCTGGGGCCCCTCTGGGCCCGGCAGCCGTTTTCTGTACTCCTCCTACCCAACCTCTGTCACCCGGGAAGTGTGGCGGGGAGGAGACCGGGCCTGGAACTCCCTCCCGACCCTGGAGGACACCTTGATTTCGGCTTGGAGCCGAGGCACACACCACCGCCCGCCTTTCTGACCCCACGACCCGGGTGCTCGTGTGACCTCCCTCCCGGGGCGGGCGGAGGCCTTGAGATCCCGCTGGGTAACTGAGCGACACACTATTCTGGCACCACCCCCACCCTTTCCTCTCTCACCCTCCCCGCCGAGTCTTCGAAGGAAGTTTTCTTTTCCTGCCCCTCAGTCCAAAGAGCTGCTTGCACAGTTCCTTCCAGCCTCTCTCTCTCCCGGAAAGGACGGTCCTTGGGCTTGGCCGTCCCCGGGAGAAATGGAGATCGCCAGTTGGCATTCAGAGTTTGCTAAGGCCGGGGGCAACCTGGAGGTCGGGGGTTCCCACACATTCTCAAAATGGGAAGTACCGCCTGTAGGGCAAGGAGAGAGAGGGGGAGATTCATGTAGTGCCTATAGTCACAGTGGGATGTTTCAAATACACTTGTCAAGGAAAAAAGTTAACTATCTCGTGGTACTCCGCAATCAAGGAAGTGTCAGAGCTAGGGACTTGGACGGTTTTCTACAGTCATCATCCACATTATTGCCATCTCGGTTAAATCTATGAACAGATGTAAATTTCACCACAACATGGGTTATAAACAATCTGGTGTTTAAGTTAATGACATAGGCACAGTAACAACAACATGATTCTTTTGTAAAGAGAAAACTTTTTCTAATATGCATACGAAATTGATACTGAAATGTAAAGCAGTTGTATTGCTTTACTGCTTTACTCCGATTTTATTGGCATAGTCTATCTTACATTACAGTATTCTTGGCAAAAGAGTGGTGGAACTAGAACAAGGTAATAGCTAGCTATATTGTGAAAAACTATGTCAAAACATTTTGCTAGAAATTTGACAGATTGTCTCCAGTCCTTTCTGTAATATTGCCAGATAGATGTTATTAACCTCCTTTATATATGAGGAAGCAGCTTCAGAGCGATGAGTAACTTGCTTAACTTGCATGGCTAGTAAACAGCAAGTGCTGTCTGACCTGCTACTTATTACAAGCTGCGTCTCTCTTCCTGGATAAGCATTGCAGGTTTAGGATATATAGAATAAAAGAATATTAATTACAGTCTAGAGATGGCTTAAAGATCATCTAATACAACCTGAGCATTTCAGTAATACTTAGGTAAGTAATGTGTAAGAGATGGGAAATTCCTTCTAGGTCTTTATTTCCAAGTTCCAAAATCTGCATGGTGAATAATAAGCTATCTTAACCCTCTTCTCCCCTCCACTGAAATATAAGGTATAATTCAACTTATACCTTATACTTAAAGACATTGAACCTTGTAGTTAAATTTATTTTAAATTTAAATTAGCCGACTTCTAATAGTTTAAAGACAAGGTGCCAGAAGAATGAGTGAGGGTCTGAAATGAATTTTGATTTGTGAGACTTAATGTTGACTGAAAAGAGACAGAGACTTTGGTTATGGTTTCAGTGCTGATTCCCTGTGATTCTAGATGCTAAATGCAGTCTTGACACTATATAATGGCAGTCATTTAAATACAGTTAGTTATATTTTTAGGTAAATAATCCACACTGCTTAAATAGGACACATACTAGAATTTGATTTAAATTGTCAGACTCAATTTAAAAAAAAATTGTCAAAACTCTCAGAAGATGTGCTATTTTCCAAATGAATTTTAATCCTATTTCAAATTCTTTATGAGTTTTAAAATTCTGATCTAATCTGTTAGCTATCAAATAATTTTCTGTCTTAAATACTTAAAAGTGTCTACTCCATGACTGCCTGTTAACTTATTTGGAACACTGGTGATACAGCAATGAATAAAATCCAGAAAACATCTCCTGGAGCTTACAGTCTAGTAGAAGAGGACAGACTAGTAAATACATCAGTGATGGAGAAAAAGGCCAGCATGGGTAGGTTAATGGCAAAAGTGGTGGTTGTTGACATGTTGTGTAGGAGTGATGGGGCAGAGCAAGCCTTTCTAATAGGATCGAATTCAAAGGGCTCAAGGAAGTGACAGTTTCCAGGGTTGGTTTTGTTCTTTTTTTTTTTTTTTGAAGGAAAAGCATTTTAGTCATAGGGAACAAGTGCAAAAACTGAGGTTGCATAAGGTACTAGGGAGACCAGTTAAGGAGCTGTGGACATAGGACAGGCAAAAGGTCAAGGTGATATGACTTAATGAGAGCAATAGCAGGCGAAGTGCAGAATGAATCCAACATTGCTTGTTAGATTGGCTTTGAGTTATGAGAGAAAAATGAGTCAAGGATGACTCTAGTGTTTTGACTTGAGCCATTTATTTCAGGAGGAGCAGGCTCATTTAATGTGTCTTTAAGTTCATATCTGTTAGAGATGCCTTCTGAAGTATATATGTATAAACTATATCATGTCTGAAAATTGCCTTAAAATATTTCAGAAGAAAAAAGGGAGGTAGTTAAAACAGCGTTGACAGAATGTTGATAGTTTGAAGCTGGGTTATGGGTTCATGAGGTTTCAGTATACTTATTATGCTTTTGTGTATGTTTGACATCTTCTACAGTACTTTTTAAAAAAATAAAAATATATAAGAAAAAAAGATGGTCCCAAATTTGTAACATGTGAAATTTGGAGTACTGTGTATTTTTTTTTTCAGTATTTAGTCAGTGACTGAATTCCTGCTCTAAATTGAGTTGACATCAGTATGGTGCCAAAGTGCCAAGTTTCATGCTAAGAATAGAGTAAAAGGTATCTATTGCCAGTTACCCATTATAAGTAATAAGAACAGTAGGAATGGAATTCAGCATTCACATTTATACCTTAAGGAATAACCCATATCTGGGTGACCAGCTGCCATACTTTTTTAAAAATTTTACTTTAAAACTTTTTAAATCAAAACTTAAACATGTTTTTTAAAAAGTAAAATCAAACTATTAAAGCATATAAATGGGTTTCATCAGTCTATTCGAATCTGTAGAATTTATGTGCCTTGGTACTTTAAAAAAGTATGTTATGGTAAAATGTATAAACGAATAGGCATATCCATTCCTTAACAGTATATTTGGGTGGTTTTGTTCTTAACTTTCTCAACACAGAATACAAGAGCATCAAGTTATTTATCTTTGATCAAGTGTTACTTTATCAGTAGTGTCTTAAAAGCCACTTATTAGTTCATGGAATCTGTCTTTTCAGTCCTTATTTGAGCATTAAATACTCCCTTCTAGCCTTTTTTTCCTCTCACTCATATATAATCCTATCAGGCTATTACTTAATTAATAAAAATATCTTGTACTTTTCTAACTCTAGTCTTTTGTTCATAAGGTAACCTCGTCTTGAATGCCCTCTACTGCCTTTCTGTGTTGTCTTTCTTGCTCTTAAAGTACAACTTCAAGTTCACCTCAGACCGCATGCACTTGGAATGAAATCCTGTGTCATTTATCAGTTCCATATGTGGCATTTTTCTCCTAACGAACTGTTACGTGAGGTTCCTTGGAGATCTAAAATTCTGTTACTCTATGGCTTTCACATCTTTGATGAGATTGTATGTCTAAAGAATCAACTATGCTTCTTTCTTATTCCCTTCTTAAAACATCCAACATGGTTCTTTTTAGTTTTTATATCATTTTCACCAAGCAAGGTAGTAACTGTAAGTTAAATCTGCTAACCTTGAAGTTGATTAATGCCAGTGTAAAATATTCAGCTGTTTAATTCAACTAATATTTATTGAGTACATCCTCAGGTGCTTGGCACTGACAAATTCAAAGATAAATGAGACCTAGTTGTTGCCCTCAAAAACTTAATAATCTAGTCCTAATTTGTCATAATTAAGTACTTTACTCTTTATAGTAAATACCCATTTTGTGAATTACTCTTCTTTTACTTGGTTTAGTATTTCAAGTGGGCACATTTCAATGCTTCAGAACTGAAGCAAAACTTATTCACCGTCTTTAAAATAAGAGTGTATACTTAAAAAACTCTCAAACTGAATTACTTAGAGAGGAGGTTTGATTTAATTTTCTCACTTTTCCCTTGGACTGACTACTGAAGTTACACTATAAACTTAATGACTGCTGGCTATTTTCTGAGGCAGGGGGAGTCTATAAAATTTAGTCAAACTTTGATCTCCCACTTAATTTAGCAAGTATTAATTGTGCATCTAAGCTGTAGATATAAAGATGAATATGATGCTACCCTTAACTAGCTCCTGTCAGGTGCTATTTGGATGGAATTTCAACTTGCCCAAATACTTTCTCTCGAGCCCTTCTGAAATTCCATTTTCTTTATAGAATTTAAACTACAAATAACTTCATCATGTCTCTCAAATCCTGATAAGTAATAAATGCCACATTCAGAGTCCATACATTTACTCATTATGTATAGCTAAAGGATTAAACTTTCAGTTCTCATGTCATTTTATTGTATTAATGAAATATTACAAAAAAGTTTCTAACTAAATAGTACAGCTATACATTCATTAAAATGCATGCTTAAAATCAACTGTAGTTTCTAATTAACAACTATCATCAAAAAGTCAGTAACAATTTTGGACTGAAAGATGTTGGAAACTAAAATTTTTAAGGTTAAAATTCAAAATGTTTGGATTTTATCCAAAAAGGAAGAATAGGGTTTTTTTTCCTAAAGAAGAAATAGATTTTTTTTGTCCTCCGAAAAGGGTGCCATTATTATAATTTTATGTTTGTCTTTAGAACCATGTCATATGTTGATTATATCTCTCATGTACAGTAGAACATACATACTATATTCTCCATAAATATTTGTATTAATAATCTAAACCTCTTTAATATATTTGATATAGCTCATCATTTTATACAGTAGGTGCACTCTTAGAAATGTTTTAGAGAAAGATGTATCTATTAAATATTGTACTATTTTGTTATCTTAATATGTCCTACTTCTGATTAACAATGGGAAAAATCTGTAAGTCCCACAATGATAAAATCATGGCAATTAGTAAGCCTTTTATAAAACACATTTAAGTAATAAAAATTTATAATTTCAATTTAAATATATAATATTAACAATGTGCTTATGTCTCCCTCCACCCTTTTTTCCTTGTTTATCCTACATAGGATTAAGGTTACCCATAATTTGATGATTATTGATAATCATTAGGAAGCAGAAGTAGATTGCTTCCTACACAGGGGCAAGGAAACATAAAATATGTTTGGATAATGGTGATAGAAAGTAATAATTTTTTGACAGCAAGTATTTACTGTACAGATAGTATCATATAAGACTATGTTTCAAACAGATGTGAGATCAAATCTCAACACTGACAACTTGGGCAAAATGTTAAACAGTTTTGATCCTCAGCTTCTTTATGACTGAAATTATGATTCTTACCTAAATAGTGATTTTTTTGAGTGTTTGATCTAAAATGCAAGTATATGGCATATTCTAATAACGTAATAAGCTCTGACACTGGTAAGAATAGATATGTATAAAAAAGGTCTTGTAAATGATCTTACTGAGAAAAAGAACTTTAAAACAAATTAGAGGATAAAATGACCATATATAATGTACTGAAATATGAAACAGATGTAGTTTGTTAAACAATGCAAATAAACATCAGATAGAATTTATTACTGGTAGTCAAATACATTGTTCATATGGACTTCTCTGCAGAACTGCTATTTTGCAGACAGTTTTTGTAATCAAGTTCTGTTTCACTCATCGCTTAAGCATTCCTTATATTGTTTTTGTTTTTTTCTCTTGTGAATTAAAATAGTAAAAAACCTACTCACTATGTTTATAAAATCTTACTTTGTAAATCAGTTTACATATTTTCATTGTTTCTTGCTCAAATGACTTGTTGCAAATACTCATCTTTGCTCTATTACACTTCCACACTAAAAAAAAATGTGTATTTAATGAGACAAACTTGTAAGGTAGTGTCATGACAATCACAAAGAAATATTAAATAATTAAGCAAACAGGTCTTTTACCTGAAGATTGAAAGGTTTTGTTTTCCAGCCCTAGCCAATATGGCCCAGTTGGTTGAAGTGTCATCCCCTAGACTGAGAGGTTGAGGGATCAGTTCCCTGTCAGGGACATACCCAGGTTGCAGGTTCCATCCCTGGTCCCTGGTCTGGGAGCACACAAGACAACCAATCAGTATTTCTCTGCAGATCAGTGTTTCTCTCTCTCTCTCTTCTTTTGTCTCTTTGTAAAAAGGCAATGAAAAAAATGTCCTTGGGTGAGGATAAATTTTTTTTAATGTTTTGCTTTCCACATAATCAACTTTCTAATTGTCGGTTCTCTGGAATATTATTGGGAAGAAACTTAGAAACTTGCTGTGAAACCTAGCCTATATTACATACACTTATGACTATTTCCTATGTCATTATTAATAAACATTTTTTAGTAATTTCTAGCCCATTTGCTTAATTCCAGTGTGTTTCTAGAGACATCTATTAAAGTTTTAACATGATTTTATGAACTGAAAAAAATGAGTCTGCAGGTTTATACTGTTTGGATAATCTTTTCCATTTAGCTCTTCTGTAACAGAGACCACGTCTTCTAGTTCTTAGCAGAGTACCTTGCACAAAGACTGACCTCATAAATATGATTTTTAAATTATGGATCTGCTGATTGTTGTATTAATCTGTTTTTGGTTATTTAATATAAATTAAGAACTTCTACCAAGAAAGTATTTTGTATGTATAATGGTGGTGCTAGTGATACTCTAGAAATGCAACTGGAAGACAAATCATCAGAGAGTACTTTTCCCTTGGATCTTTCCATAGCTCATATCTTATCATTCCATCTCAGGTTAGTTGTTACCTGCTCAGAGAGGCTGTTTTTCTTACCACTACATCTGGTAATGCTCAAACCCTGGCACCCTCTTCCAGGCCCAGTTTGCACATCCCCCAGCCTTTGAGGCCTTCTGATTCGCCTACTCGTCCCTTTCTCTGCAGAATGAATTCTTCCTTCCAGAACTACACTTGAATTCATTAATTCAAGCAGTTAATAATTCAGTAACTCACTCAAGAAACACCTATGTTGGTCCTCTTTCTATCTTCTTTTTACCTTTGTATCCTTATTATCAAAGTATTTATTTACCTGTTTATTTTCTGTCTTCCCCATTAAAATGTAAGCTTCCTAAGAGCAGAAGCCTTGTCTGTTTTTTTGGCTGCTGAAACCTATGTGCTTAGAATAATGCCTAGTACATATGTGAGTGCTTAATAAATATATTATTTGTTAAAGAAATGTACACAATGAACAAATACATACACTTGCTCATTAAGGTACTGAGTGAAGAATTTTGCTGTACTGGTAAGATCATCCTTTATAGGCAGCGTCCTGGGTGTATTGCCTTTCTTTTTCTGCCTCTTGGTTGATTTTTTTCAAGGAGATAATGTATTTAACCATTGGAGGTAGACTTTGAACATGGAAAATTATAATTTATACCTCTGTAAGCGATGTATTGCTTAGAATCTTGGGGATCTATAGCGAAGATTACAGTTCTTTTTTAAGAATGAGATCACATAGTTATCACATGTCCTTGGGGTTGGGGTTTTGATCTTTCTCCCAGTTCCTCTCCTCAGTTACAGTACACTGCAAGTTTATGGGCTTAGGGAATAGCTTTGGAACTGCTTTTCTCAGTCCCACCCATTGGATCAGGGCTTGGTTACAGGCCAGTCTCAAAAAGACCTAAGACTACAAGTAAAGCTGTTATCTCTAGCCCCTGAACAAGACCTTTGGTAGGGGGTTGTAAGCAGAAATTTAAAAGTAGCATTCCAGGGAACCTTTCAGCTAAAAGTGCTGTGATAATCAGTTGAAATTCTTAGACCAAATACAAGGATGCTGGGAATAACATAAAACTCAGAAAAGTGGAGAAGCAGAAGATAAGAAATGAGGAGACAAAAAACAAGGTGGATGCTATATATTGTTAGTCAGAAGTGAGTCATGACTAATGAGCATAGAATTACTGCTAGTCATTGTCCACCTGTATTATGTAGGGGAAAATCCACATATTCTAGGGAAAAAAATTACATGTAATAAGAAGCCTGATCCATCACTCCTGATATGAAAAGTACCCAGAAGTCTCTGTAAAAATCTACATGGAAATCGTTTTACTTCTTATGTTATGGGCACTGCAGCCTTTCCTCAAAAAGTAGTGCAAGATAATATACATTGAGTACTTTTAACTACATTTTATGATCTTCAAAAGTTGTCCCTGTAGTATGATAAGGATATATTCTAACAGTCTGTAAATCAATTGCTGGAACATATCCTGAGAAACAAGTTAAATGATAGTTTCCCAGAACATCCCATAAAAAGCCTATTTAACCACTTGTGATTAAAGTGTCAATAATACATGTTACTGACATTAAACATAAACAGCCCTTTTTAAATTCAACATAATAATTACCAGGCATTGAACAAAGTGATTTACATACACACTTCCAATTCATTCTCAAAGCACTATGAGATATACATATATTGTCCCTCTGTAATGATAGAGGATACCTAAGGAAAAAAATATTCAAAAGCTTGCTCAGGTCACAGCATTGCAACCAGGATATGAATTCAGATCTAACTGACTCAAAGCTCTTACTCCTTACCACTATGCTACCCTAACTTTATAAGTCAGAAATATTTGTATACTTTATATACCAGACAGTATGCTAGATTTTCAATAGAATTCATACCATATATTTTCGCAGAACTAAGGATATGTGTTCACTATAAGATAGGGTCATAATAAGTGCTACAAAATAGGTAGAGATAAGGGTAAAATTACTTGTGGGGGCAAAAAAAGTAGCATTCATATGCAGTGGTTTACAAACAGTTGTTTATATGGTTGGGATTATTTGGATTTGAGTTTCTTTTTAATTATTGATACAAGTTCCTAAAATATATTTAAGGTTAATATTTTTTTTAATAATCAATAACAGTTCACAGAAGAAAAGCTTGGCCAGGCAGAGAAGACAGAATTGGATGCTCACTTAGAGAACCTCCTTAGCAAAGCTGAATGTACCAAAATATGGACAGAAAAAATACTGAAACAAACTGAAGTGTTATTGCAGCCAAATCCAAGTAAGAAACATTTTATCTTTTATCTACCTTATTGACTAATCCTATTAAAAGATACTGTTAGGTTTTTTTATGTTGAAAAAAGTTTTCATTGCTATTAGAAAACAGACTTTTTTGGTGTGTGGCTTTGAGGTTTATGGTTATTTTTTGCATGCCTTGGTGAAGAAGAGGGTGAAACCCTTCTGTGTGTATTTGCAAACAAATGGACAAATACCATTTTTCAGGACTTTGTAGAATCTTCTGTCAAACTCAATTTCAGGCAGTGACTTTGAATTTTAAGACTTCTAAAAGGCTATGAAAATAAATTAATTAATCTTTTTCATCTAAGGTAGAATTATCCCTATATAATTAAGGGGAAAATTATAGAAAGTTAAATAGTTACCAGTTATGCTTTTTAAAAGATTTTATTTATTTTTAGGGAGAGGGGAACGGAGGGAGAAAAAGGGAGAGAAACATCACTGTGTGGTTGCCTCTCGTGAGACCACTACTGGGGACCCAGCCCAAACCGAGACATGTGCCCTGACTGGGAATCAAACCAGCAACCCTTTGGTTTACAGACCAGCACCCAACCCACTGAGCCACACCAGGGCATATTTATGTTAAGTTTTATGTTTTTACATAAACTATTCCAATTGATTTTCTGACAACTCTAAGGTTTTCCAGAACACCCAACTAAATAGCATTGCTAATAAGATGCACAATAATTGCTTGCTTATTAATTGAAACTCACAAGTTAGCATTTTGTCCAATGTAGTGTAGCTAATTAAAGAGGAACTTGAACTAGAACCAGGTGAATCTCCACCCAGTCTTTTCACTGTGGGCTCCACGTACCAGAACTGAAGGACAAAGTAAACAGTGCACGCTTCCCTTCCGCTTTTCCTCAGTGTTGTTGTGCCCGTGGTGTAAGTGCCATAAACTTACTTTTAGATACTAACTTAAAATTACAGTTTTGTTCTATTACATAAAACTCAAACACTACACAAACTGTAATTCTGTGCCATTTTATTTAAATTGCAGTGACTTCTTAAACTAAACCTTTTACACTTTGAGTGAGGCCTAGTCTTTGGTTACCATGTAGTATTTGTTACTCATTTAAGGCTACTTAAATTATATACCATAGTACCTAAAAAAATAATAACAGTTTCCTCTTATTCTTTGCTCTATCCACAGTTCCTCACATATGTAGTCTGTTCTAAAATATGCTTTCCAGATTGGCAAATAAAGTCATACACAACTGGTAAAAGGGAATGATGTCAGTATAAAGAAGTTACAATGGCTTATAAGTACCATTTTATATTAGTGTTTTAAGTTGGAAGTAGTAACAGAATTCTGTTTTTTGTTTGTGCTCTGGTTACAAAGTTACTTAGATTTTGTGTTTTCAAACCCAACTCTTTTCCTGTAAGCCCTGTCATCTTTAGTATATGATTTTTCAGAATGTTGGGTTTTTCAGAAATATATATTGAATTAGAGCAGAATTGCCTACATCTTTTTAAGACTTTACTGAAATGAAACATTTATTTAAAATATACCAAATGTCCTACTAACTGAATGAAATCAACATGAGATTTATACTTTTGACCAAATAAATAGAAAGCAGCAAAGCTGAGCCTTACTCTCAGTCAGAAAAGGAAATTCTGAAATTTAGACAATACCTTTTAAATGATTAGTTTTGAACCGACTTTGGTTTTAACTAAGTTAATGGTTTGTAAATTCCTGCTTGAAAATTCTTCTGATTCTGCACCATTGTCTACCAAAAAGCAAGTATTGTTCCAACAGCCTATATGTTTTTATAATTAAAACTTTTGCCAACTCCTGAGGTATTTCTTTATTGCTTCAGCTCATCTTTGAAATTTCATTGCACTGTGCAAAACTTATACGTATGGAGGAATTATTTAAGATGCTTAAAAGGAACATATTTAACTTCTTTTTGGATTATAATTTTAATTTATGAGGTCTGTCCAGAAGGTATCTAGCCATGTAATATGAAAAATAGAGACATTTATTGAAGAAGGCACAAGATACAAGAATTGTACACAGGACAATGACACCTCAGTCCCCTTCAAAGTAGGCACCTTGGGGCCTCACACAGTTCTCCCAATGCATCAGCTGCCCTATCATACTTCCTGAATCTCATCCATGGTTTGAAATCTCTTCCTTTTCAAAGGTGATTTTAGTTTTGAGAAAAGCCATAAGTCACAGGGCACCAAATCTGGCCTGTAGTGGGGCTGAGTCACCTGGGTGATACGATGTTTCACCAAAAAACTGCGCAAGACGTGATACATGTGCAGGCACATTGTCATGATGAAGCTGCCAATCACCAAGTGCCATAGCTGTGGCCTTGTGAATCATACAAGTAGTTTCTGCAGAGGAATGTTGAAGCTAATGCAAAATTTGGTGGAGATTCATTGCTCTACCCGCTCAGTCATTTTGAATGCGACAGCCACACACTACACATGCTCACTCAGTGGCATTTACGGCCCCCACTGACTAGTACAGTGAAGTCATCATTCACGCATGCACATTCCAGTCCACTCTCCTTGGCTGCCACGTTACATGGCAAACCATTCTTGTATGTTAATAATGGCTGGACTTTTTCTGGACAGACCTCATGTATTTATATTTAATCATTGTTTCTGAAAATACGGACTTTTTCTCATTTGTCTCTGAAATACCTCATTGTTAGGCAGCAATGTAAATGTGAATTTTTTTAATATTACACTAAAATGTTTATATTTTTCCTTTCCATTTATACTAATGTTCTATAATTGCTTTAGCCTTTGTCTTATATTTTAATCTTATTTTTAATGGTGAAATATTTTGAGTGAATATGTGCTCAGAGGTATTTATATAATGAAATAAAATTAAGCCAAGACATCATATTGCTGATCTCTGTAGATTATTTCAAGCCTAGATTACTTTATTCTTAAACCCACATGCCTATATTTAGACTGTAGGAGGGAGAGAGAGCTTTGAAAAAGCGAAAGCCCCCAAATGGTGTCAGAAATATGTGACTCTTGGTTCTTCTAGGTATCTTATATCCATATTTTCATAGTTGGAAATCCCTGCTTTTGAAATTATAAACATATCTTCATAATTAAGTATTAGATATATGAATGGGGCAAAGGCAACTTCATTAGCTATTAAGTGAATACTAACCCTTTTTTGGAATTTAAAAATCTCATAAATTATTCATATAATAGTTTTATTTTTAAATATTTTTGTTCTAAGATATTTTTTAATTTTTTAAAGATTTTATTTATTTATTTTAGAGAGAAGGAAAGGAAGGGAGAAAGAGAGGGAGAGAAGCATCCATGTGTAAGAGATACATAGATCAGTTGCCTCTCACACACCCCCAACTGAGGCCCTGGCCTGCAACCCAGGCACATGCCCTGACCAGGAATCAAACCAATGACCTCTGGGTTCGCAGGGCGGCACTCAGTCTACTGAGCCGCACCAGCCAGGGCTATATTTCTAAAGAAATAAGTTTCTTAGAGATCTATAACACTGTAACATATAAATAAAAAATTACATATTAAGGTAAGTACTTGAAAGCATGCTAATTTCATGTTAATTTTACAGGGTAATAAATGGGTAGCAGTAGAACAAAGCATTCTATTAAACAGTTTCGCTTTTTTGAAATTATTGGTAATTTTAAACCTTTCTTGTAGATGCCAGGATAGAAGAATTTGTTTATGAGAAACTGGATAGAAAAGCTCCAAGTCGTATAAACAACCCAGAACTTTTGGGACAATATATGATTGATGCAGGGACTGAGTTTGGCCCAGGAACAGCTTATGGTAAGCAAGAGACAAAAAGCCTATTAATAAATATCTCTACTTTTAGATTTTTACTATTTAGGGACATTATTAACATTTGCCTAATATTAGTGGAATCACTTTTAACTTCAGATTTTTTATGTCAGAGTTTTGGGTGAAGTGAGAATTATGAGTTAAAAATAAGTATGTACAGTTCAATTTAATATGTAATATACAAGGCCCAGCAGAAGTAATGCCTGCTTGAGTGTGGCTGGTAGGGTAATAATATGGGTGTAATAATTTATAGTTTTAATTTGAACATTTCACTTAAAATGTCATATGGTATGCTTGAGTGTGATATTGTTATGTTAAAGAATTACATGCTTATGATCTTGTAATAAAAGATTTTGTAATAAAAAAGGGCATCATTTGTACTGGACACTGTATTTAAGGATATATTATTCTGTGATTTCATATGGTCTTTCTAGGCCTAAAAAGTTAAATGAATCCTTACTCGTACTCCCACTAAATCTTTCAACACCTCTGTTGAGGTACTTAACACATATTGCAATTTTTGTTTACATGTCTCCTCTTTTTTTTTAAAGTTTTCTTGAGGGCTCATTTCTATAGAAAAGTACCTGACACACAGTAAGAGTTTGAACGACCAGTGGTTCTATTGGTTTGAGGTTCGAATACCCCGAACCAGGACCAGCATCTTGGTAAGGCTAAGCTGGGAACCCGAGCAGAGTAGGAGTATGTGCAGGTGGCATCCCTGAGGGTCCAGAGCCTCAGTGGGCCGTGAGTGTCCCACCGGCATAACTCACTGAACTGTCTTACACAGTATTGGCATTAATACAAAAGTGTTAACAGTGGTTATCTCTGGATGTTTGGACTACATTTCATTTCTATTTTCTTCATATCGTTTATTTTTTATAATTAGGTTTTACAGTTTCTCCAGCTTTGTTAGTTGTTATACTGACTTTTTTAACGTATAACTAAGCTCAAAGTTTTACACCATTATCTTTCAAATCAAATTTTCTCGATGTAAGACTATTTTAGATTTCTATAGCTTTTTCCCTATTGTTCATGTCTAATAATTCTCTTTATTAAGACTTCTGCAAGAAATTGGTTCTTAAATGAATATGAAATGTTAAGTAAATTAAATGATTTTCTATATAAAGTCCTGATTTATGAAATAACTCATACATTCTAGAACTAAATGAACTTAAACTCTAGTAGTTTCCTTTTGTCAAATAGAAATAACCTCAGTACTGTGTATTGAATGCCACTTAATTTATTGACTTTAATCTAGATGAACAGCTTTAAAATTTTTACATTGCGTTCTTCAAAATATAATTTTTTCAGAAGTTGAAAAATTATTATAATTTTTGTAGTTTAGTTTCTAAATTTTAGCTATGAAATTTAGAAAAACTTTATACATTAAAGAAAATTGTATTGCCTGCTCGTGCCACAGTTAGATGCTGGAGTCATAATGGTGTGAAAGGGAACCCAGCCCTTTCCTTCACCAGATTGAAGGCTTATTGGAGGATGGTCATTTGAAGGGCTTCTAAATATTTTTCCTTTTTCAATTCACTTAATCTGTGTGCATTTCTAATAATTCCATTGAATGTATCCTGATTGTTGGAATTGGGCTTTGTGAATCTGTATTATTAATTGATAATTAGCTAGCAATTGAGTATTCTGGACATTGTGCTAAGCATTATACAATGTAAGTGTTATTCCAGTAAATCCTCACTTTGTATTCTATTTATAAGGTAAATTTCGTTATCTGCATTTTAACAATAAGGAAACTGAGTCTTAGGTTACATAATCCATCCATGATCTTACAACTAGTAATTCAAATATAAATCTGTATCCAGAAATTGAGCTCTTAACTACTACTTTATATTATTACCTTTTTAATATTATTACCTTTCTTAGCAGTCAGCTCTGATCTCATCCTAACATGAAGGAATTCAGGTCCATAAAACTAAAGTGTATTAGGGAGAGAACCGGGAGTAGAATCTTGGTTTTATGTTTCCCTTTTCTTTCACTCTGTACTGTACTTCCACAGTACTGTTCTTTCAAAACATGATTTTTCTTTAATCTAAAATACAAACATATACTGTTACATATAGATACTTGAGATTAGTGCATAAATGTTGAAACAAGTCAAATTTTCACTTAATCTACTTACAAAATTTTAAGCATTATACTTCTATAAATGTATCATACTATCTGAGCTGTGACCATACATACTTTTTAGTATATCCATCCTCTTTTGTCCCACTAGTAGAATTAGTGCAGTTAACTATGATAAGGAATGTAGATTTATAATTTTTATGTCAATATTTGTAATCTTAAATTCACTTTTAAAATAAAACTGCCATAAGTACAGTTAATTGTATTTGACTTTTACTTAAGTAAACAAGTGACAACTATAAAGCAGATCAAATTGCTGATTTATCTTAACATGATTCTGTTTTCTGACATCACCAGACAATGGTAAAAAAACTTTTTTTCCTTTGTAGGTAATGCTCTTATTAAATGTGGAGAAACACAAAAACGAATTGGAACAGCAGACAGAGAGCTGATTCAAACATCAGCTTTAAATTTTCTCACTCCTTTAAGAAACTTTATAGAAGGAGATTACAAAACAATCGCTGTGAGTTGAAAAGTGTTTCCATTTTTAGTAAAAAATTTAGATATATACTTATAGTTTTTAATGAATAATTTGCCATCTTCATGACTGTGTAGATGACACAGATTAGAAAATTTAAATAAGCTAGCTAGTTATATATTAAGCAGAACATAAAACCAAAAGAATAAAGGACTATTGATGATATGGACTCCTTTTTTGTGTCCCCCTAGTGTTACTGAAATATCCTTACATCCATTCTTGTTTATTGCCAGCACTAAAATCTGCAGAGTGAGGTTTCTGGAATGATTGTAAAAGTATGGCACAAAATATCATTGTAGTATAACCACGTAACTATTCATTTAAACTGGGAGCCAGGAACCTAGTTATTAGAAGCTATATTTCTGGCTACTAGACTTTCTGTCTATTACTTTTCAGTTTAATTTGTTTTTTAAGTGATGGAGAATGGAGATTTAGGTGGGGCTTGTTTGGGTTTGTCTTTTGTTGTTGTTGTTGTTGAGATTATTGCAAGGCCATTTTAGTATATGTGCTGCCAAAGTGAGTACTATTGCAAGACTGTTTTAAATACTAGGTCAAACTTGGCAGATTTCTTATTACAAAATATTATAGAAATATGTTTGCAATGAATTTGTCTCTAGGTAAAAGTATTTGGACTGAGACAAAGGAAAAGTCACCAGATTGAAATATGATTTAAAAAAGATATTAGATTGTCAGTGGGATGATATTTGATATATGAAATCTAAGAATTAATAAAACAGTACATTCTTAGGATCTTATCTATTTTATAGAAGCTTGACATTCCCATGAGGAATTCTAAGACACCATACAAATATTTATTCATTATTTACCTATACACTTAAAATTTCATTTAGAAGTAACAGAGTTGCTTTTGTGATCATATAAGCACATATGATCATATAGGGTATCAAGAGTCTTTACCCTAGACCCACACTTTCTTCATCATAGGCACTTTCTAGATAAACTGTAGCAGTTTGAAGTTTTGCAGCCCATGCACTACTGATATTTGTAGCCAAATAATTCTTTGTTACGGTAACTGTACTGCACTGTGGGATGTTCAGCAGCATCCCTGGCTTCTACCCAGTGGATGCTAGTAATATCCCTCTGCCAGTTGTGATAACCAGTAAAATATTGCTAAATGTTCCCTGTGGAGCAAAATTCCAAAATGTTAAAGTTAATATTTCTTTGTTTCTATCATCACCTTTTCCAGATATCTATATGTCTCTATCAGTTTAAAATTGAAAACAGTAAGAAAAGGGAGTCAGATATTCAAAATGGTCAATTTAGGCCAGTTTTGTAATTATAGATCTTAATTTATCAGACGATTCATATCTTTAATGAAACATAATACTTTAAAGGTGTATGCTTTTAGTGGATTTCAACATCATTAGCTTTATCTTTTTCTTTCCTAAACTTACAGAAAGAAAGGAAACTATTACAAAATAAGAGACTGGATTTGGATGCTGCAAAAACCAGACTAAAAAAGGCAAAAGCTGCAGAAACCAGAGCTTCAGTAAGTAGTGTTTTTTAATTAAAAATAAAAAATTTAGGTTAATAACTTTCAAACTTGAAGAATATCTTACATACCATGCAAGCTATAATACGTCATTAAGACTAGAATATGACTTCAGAGTGTTGTTTTTGTGTTTTTAAACAGACCTACCTGAACTCAGTACATCCAAATTAGTGCAAAGTAGTCATCAGAAGGCAATATTCTTATTTCAGTGAGACCCCTGTGGCTAAACAAACAAAGTGTGAGCTCCTCAAGATGTGTCATGTTATAAATATCCTGAGTCACCACTGATGGCAAATAGTTTTTCTGGAGATAGATTTATTATGTTTAAAATAGAAAAACAAATAGTAATTAAGATGAGGATGAATCAAGTTTGAGAAGGCTAGTGTGTGCCTTAAAAAATATATTTGTGACTTCCTTTCCACATGTGACTCAAACCGATCTAAAGGAGTTGACACCAAGAATAGTTCAAACAACATTCAGACAGTGGCATCACGAACTTACAAGTGGCTATTTTGGAGAGGAGGAGACTTATTTGGGTGAATAAGTTCTGGTATATTTTTCATAAAAATAACCTCGGATAAAATTAAATGAGTATATATTAAAGATAGTAATTCAGTGATTATATATGTATAAAACTTTCTTCAAGGTTTTATTTATAAGCTTCTTATTTAACCTAACACTCAAACTATTTAAATCTTTATTCCAAAGTTTGAAGAGATTAGTCAGATATAAATTAGAACACTTTTAAGATAATGCAATATAAACAAGTCTGAATTTATTAGCTAGTAAGTTCATTCTTAATTTGAGCTAAGGGATATGTTAAGAGCCTGATATCCCCACTGCCCTCTCTTCCAAACTCATTACCATTTCCACCATTAAGGATCATTCATTGCCTTAAGGAGCGTATCAGCACAGTGCTGGTAAGTCTGCCGTGGCTCTCTTGTTTGGGGAAAGAAAAGGTTGAGACTTGGTTTTGAATAAAATTTAAAATGATAACTTGGTTTTGGACAGTGATGTCTTATGAGATTACCCCAGTCATTACCTTTTATATGAGCAAAATATTTCCTTATATGTGGTTCCCTTTTTGGAGATCCTGTAATAATTATTGCAGGAGAAGAGGTATCTTTGACAGGACATAAATTTCAAATGCACTTTCTTCTCATAGTTATCCTGACATCATCATCAAAAACAGTCTTAACTTCCATAAGCAGGCTTTTTGTAGAATCAGAAATTTAAAAATGAACACTGTGGTTAGCAAGAGACTCAGGATATTCATTTCTAATTTCTAATAATAAATTTATATAGTAAAATATAAAGTGGTTTTTAAGATACTGATTTTCTAATCAGAAAAAATGAAGGTCATTTGGAAATAAATGTTTGAACTAAAACAGAATCTCTTTATTCAAAATGCCTGCATGTCTCCAGTGATGATTGTAGAATAAGAATACTGCTATCAAGTATCAGTACAAAACTTTCTTTAACAAGTGCTATTGTAGGATAACGATTGTTTACTTTTTTACCTGGAAATGTGCCAGGAAGCTCATAGATTTAACAGTATGTAAGGTCCTTTGATTACTCTAAATTGTTTTACCACTGCTATTAAAATATATAAGAACTAAAAATAATAGTAGACAAATTTGAGAGATGTTACCTTTTGATATATCCAAAGAAGATCTTGTCAGTTTTTCTGTCCTGTGTATTGTTGAGGACAGTTTTTTCTATGAGAACTTACATTTAAAATAAAACTGAAAGATTATACAGATGATTTTATTCAACAATTGCATTTATACACAGCTTTTCTAGAATGTATGTATTGCAAAAAACAAAATTTAACTGTAACCAACTGTTTAAAATATTAGTCTAGACAAAAATGTATACTTCCTGATTGTAGTTGTGTTCTTTCCCCCTAGATAACCAACTTATTTTTTCAGACTTTATAGTAGCAAGTCTGACATACTTTGAAAAGGAAAATTTCTTTTAGTTCATTACTGCATAAAAACTTGAAGCATGTCTTTATTTTGTGGGGTGTTTTTCTCTTTTTGTTTGTTTCTTTTGGAGTTTTTTTTAAGAGAGTACAAAAAATAGAAACTGCTAGAAGTTTGGGGATTTAGGGGTTTTTTTTTTTCTTTGACACATTTCCTGGTTTCTAGTTGGCAGCTGAAGCAGTTACTCTAACCTTTTTTTAGCCCTGGCTAGTGTGGCTCAGTGGATTCAGTGCTGGCCTGTGAACCAAATCATTGCTGGTTCAATTCTCAGTCAGGGCACACGCCTGAGTTGTGGGCCAGGTCCCCAGTTGGGGGCCTGTGAAAGGCAACCACACATTGATGTTTCTTTCCCTCTCTTGCTCCCTCCCTTCACTTCTCTAAAAATAAATAACTAAAATCTTTTTAAAATTATTTTTAGAGTTTTGTTAATAGTAGAGAAAAATCTGATTTCAAAACTTAACATTTTAGAGGTTTAGACCTCTGTTACTTTTGTGTATGCAAACATGATGGGAAATATGTCTTCAGGTAACATAATATAGCTAATATGTCTCTCTGCTCACTTCAGCATTTCCATAGCACTTTAAATCTTTAATCTGTAAAATGAATAAATTTACAGTACCATCATATACTTTTAATCTTCCAGGCATAAATATTATAATTTGAAGTTTACTAAAAATATGAGAGGGTTGACATGCCTTTCGTATTTCTTCAGGGTATGCCAAGATCTGGCTGAGGCTGATTAAAAGAACTTAGTTGAAGGCATCATCCATTCATAAAATAGAAATGATCTTTGAATAGGAAAACTAGGTAGGCATAAGGGCTTTCATAGTTGAAAATTTAATAAAAATAATAGATAGTGGTAGCAATTTTTAAAGTGATCAGTATCCCTAAGTGATTCTAATTTAAAGTCAAGCTAGCAAACCATGTGTTTGATCTTTGTAATTTGAATCTTTTAGCAACATCGAATAGGAACCACTATATGAAATTCCATAGGACAATGTAGTTTTTTTACGTAGAAAATAATTTTATCAGCTCTTTTAATACCTGTTTGTGTGTTCTTGATTGTGCAGAAATAACTTGTTTCACTGTGTTCATTGCTATAATGTGTTCTTTGTCTCTTACCTATGTATTTAAGCAACTAAACTCAGCTCGCCTTGAAGGAGATAACATTATGGTAAATTTCTCTTACATGCTCAACTTCCTGCATGTAAAATGGCTAAAGGTTTGTTGGCCTACTGTGTTTTCTATGTCTTCAATAAAGTGCCTTCTCTTGCTATTTGCATGTAAAGGTTTAAAATATTCACAGCCATGCATTCATTAGTTTAACAAAACATATAGGATATACCAGCTGAAGTATATTGGAACTAAAAGAAAAGAAAGCATGTGTTTTCTGAAATTCGCATAACTGACAGATTCAGCTATGCCAAATTCAGATTTTAGAATCTGAGTTTTCACATAAATTTATCATACCTTTTATACACAATAAAAGATGTTAATTTAGCTGGCACTTTGTATGTTCACTTTGGCAAAGAAAATTAACAAAATTACGCTTCACTTTGAGAAAGGTATAAGATACACAGATTTATTTGTTTTTTTGTTGTCTTTGATGTTCCTTTAAGTTTTGCTCAGAGTCAACATGGAATTAATTTCTCTTTCAATTCTAGGCCAAGACAAACCCCAGTAGATTGGGTATTTCTGTAGTGGCCATCCCCATTCCCTATAGAGTGCCAGTTCATTTAAGGAAGTTGCAGAATAGTGATAACTTGGGGAAGAACTGAGAGTGAGAACTGTTATATGGTATCTAGTGTATAAATTAGGCTTGATTTGAGGAACTTTTAGAGTATTACAAACTTTTAATTTTTTTAACAAAATAGAAATGTGAAAAATTTGAACATTGCCCAAATCTTATAAATGTTGGTTAGCCAATAAAGATTTATGAGTATTTGGTATTATACTCCTAGATACAGTACATCCATAGAAGAGTCTTGGAAACTGCAGTGTAGTTCATAATAAATTGGCCGGTAACTGACTGCGTTTAAGCCTAATATTAGCATTAAACTAAAAGTGGTGGGGCTTGTGGGGGAGAATCTGTGAAGCCCTGGCTAAATGAGGGCCTTCCTTAGATAGCAAGAGAACGCATTCATTTATTTCCATCATCCTATCTGTAGGTTAAATCAAAAGTGTAGGGCTGTTTCTTCCAATCATTGGTAATTTATTATATAAATCATAGGTTTTCTTTTGTAAAAATATCCTAAACAATTAGCAAGACTGTTTCATTTCTTAGGCATCTGTTTTATTGCTGATATCATCAATTTATAGTCTGATAATTTTAAATTTATTATATCTCTAGTTTATTGTCCCCATCCCCTACCCCAGTGGCTTTGTCAGTGTTCAGTGTCCATTTAGCCTTGCTTTATTTTAATATTCTAAAGTTCTAAAATTTTAAACCTAAATAAGGAGTTACAAATCTTATGGTTTAAACTTCTCATTTTATAGACAAGAAAACTACAACTAGTAGGGATTAAGTATTCCCCATTTTAAAAAACTGATATTCTTACCAACTTAAGGAATTAGTACAAGATTCAAAAATTCATAATATTTATGTGTATACTTTCACAATATATTAAGTTGTGCTAATTTAGTTACTGTATTTAATCTGCTAATATTCTGGAAAAGGAGTATACCACTTGAATTAAAAAATTAACATTTCTCCATTCTAAGTTGTAGAAAATGTTAAATTCCAACTTTCTTTCATGCTGTATATTCTCTCTAATTTTCAATGCTGGCTAGATTTGGGCAGAGGAAGTGACAAAAGTAAGTAAATTATTAAACTACAGAATTATGAAACAAAAACTTAACTGTCATTTATTTAGAAAATATTGGTTGGTGACCATGGGGCCAGTCACAATCTTTGTTACTGTATCTTACAAAATCTGAAAATGATTATGGAACACTCAGGTCCACAGAGCAATAGAACAATGCTGCAGAGATACTGTTTGCACATACTACAGC